TATATATTATAGCATTATCTAGCCTCTTTACAACTATACCCATATTTACTAAGTAATTAAAATTTTATTAAACTATGTTTGAAATAAATTTAACATTTAACTTATAATTTGCATTACACTTAAAATTATTAGATCACGAAGAACAACAGAATAAAAGCTACATTAAACCGTGAATTGTCGCCTGTTTCCTGCACGTTTCTCTTACGCCTTTTTCCATTCGGCGTCGTAATGAATAAGGATATAAGAATTTTAGGAGCAGGTGATAAACTGCTCCAAGCCTGGGGTGGTACTACGTCCATTTTAAATAAGCATGTTACAGAAATATTTAAATTAAGAAGACCCAAGGGAATTTCGTTTACATGGGGAAACGTAAGTAATACTCACAAAACACAGATGTATTTTGAAAGATGCAATAATTAATTTTCTAAGATATTTTCAGACATACAATATACACACACATAGAACATATAACTTGCAACACAAAATATATATATTTATAAAATTTATATTTTTAGATAATGTACTTACATTCAGTGATGTTCGAATTAGAACTCATTAGAGCGAATGATCATCACTCCTCAATAAATTCAGACAGTACACCGAGCACAAGTAGTGGTTTAGATAGGCGTGGAAGTCAAGGTGCGAGAAGTATCTTGTTGAAGGGCCAAATGAGATACATCGAGGATATTAAAGCGATTATATTTCTCTGTAGTCCTTTGTAAGTTTTCTCACAGTATCATTATAATCATATTTTCCATAGGATAACAGATCTGTAATAATCGCGACTGTTCTCCTGTAATAGAATTAACAATTTAGACGAACTTCTTAATATGAGTTTATATTTAAACGATCTGAATCCTCACGGTATGAGCAAAGAACTGGTATTAGCAGGATGGCAACATTGTGGAAGGTATGTTTTATCAAATTTATTAGAAACAATATTCTAATAAGAAATTAAATACATTTTACGTAAAGAAATAAATTTTTTTATTATTATTATATTTTTTTATTGTATGTTTAATTGTGCCATATATATTTGTTAAACATTTCATGTGCCATCTTATATAATTATATTTTATGTTCAATTTTTTGTTAATAATCTGTATCTTTATACTTGTGGAGATTGGAAATGATGTTTGAGAGGGCAGAACAAAGATCAACCGAACTAGAGAATAGCTATGTGCTACTGGATCGATGGAAAAATAAGAGCGACGAGCTTTTATATTCTATGATTCCGCAAACGGTGGCAGACCGATTACGAGCCGGAGCAAGTCCGTTGAGCACTTGTGAAGTATGGAAACAGATTTTTTAAATGTTTCGGCCCTCTTCTCGATCTTGTCTGACAAGAAATATTTAATAATACTTTATTTTTAGTCATTTGAATCAATAACAGTCCTTTTCTGCGAATTATGCGACTTCGATTATTCAACCATCGAGGGAGCAATGGATATTGTCTTATCTATGAATGCTGTTTTTTCCTGTTTCGATACGCTAATGGATCAATTTAATGTTTACAAAGTAAGATAATTATATATTTTATTGGACTTGCTAGATATTATATTATTAGAATATTATTAGAGATAAAATTTGACTAATTATATGATGCAGTACTTATAGAATTTTAATCCGATCAGATAGTAATATTAAAACATTTCCTGTGCTCGAGTTGCTTATCTGAATTTAGTCAATGTGAATTACAATTATAACAATGTAACAACGAGAAAAGAAAGACATATTAATAAAATACAAAATATGTTGTATTTACTGTTTACGATAGGTGGAGACCGTTGGTCGTGTGTACATGGCAGCTAGCGGGGCACCGGATAGAAACGAAAACCATGCACAAAATATCGCTGACGTTTCTCTACAACTTATCGAGCATGTTCGATCTCTCGAATTACCCTCTGGATTGGACATACGAATCCGCATAGGTAACATCTAACACATACACAATTGTTTGACTTTTGAATACGATATTCTCTTGTGTCTCTTGAGACATGACTTTGTTTATCTAACGTTTATAAAATTTTATCTTTGTGAAGAATAATAATAAAATCACCGATATACATATATTAAAACAAATAGAGATAATAGAATTTTTTCAGGAATTCATTCCGGGCCAGCGGTGGCCGGTGTGGTTGGCATCAAGTTGCCGAGATATTGTTTCTTTGGGGATACTGTTAATACAGCTTCCAGAATGCAGACCACCAGTCTGGTAACATAGTTTTCTTTATTTTCTTGTAATTATATAATATAATACATATTTTAAAAAATATATAATTTAATAGAATAACCATGTACATAACAGAGAACAAATTTAATAGATAAACAATTTTTTTAACTCAAATTTGCATGATATTAAAAAAAAATACAAATTACAGTTCAAAAATTCATCGATACATAATAAATAATATATTACATGTTATATAAATCTCATATTTATCGTATCAGTTTGCCTTGTGCGTTCTTATATCACATAAATTATATATATTCAAAAACTTTTTTTATCTTTTTATTATTCTTTCTATTTGAGTTCTTCTCAGATTCTCTACACTATTTAATTGCATTGTATATGACAGCCGGGAAAGGTGCACATTTCTTCTAGTACCAAAGCTTTGTTACCTAAAGATCGTTATCGCACCGAATCACGTGGCGTTGTATGGGTAAAGGTTTGTATTATAAAAGTTTTTTGCATAATAATTAATAATGTTGTGTCGAGAATTTCATAAGAGAGGCATATCTCCAATTTCAATACCAAGTTACAATATCAAAATCAGGAATTAATATTTTGTAAATCTAGAAATATGCCTGTATTTTCTCTCCTACTGCCTTCTTATTCAATTCTTTTTTTTTTATAGAAATTTCTATGTATAAAATTCAAATTTTAAAACGTTTTCTTCTCGCGATTTTGGGCTTACGCCTCTCTGTGATGAAGCCCTCGACATATATATATAATAATGAATATATTCGTTATAATAATGAATATATTATTTATTACGTGAAGGGAAAAGGAGATATGGAAACATATTGGTTGCAACCAGCAGTAAATAATGAAACAAAACAAGAAATTATCTCGTCAGATGATGAAAACGCAGTAGTCGAAGGTCTTTTAGTTACTAGTATATAAGAATTTGATGTTTAAATAAGTAAAATCCGTATAATATATAATTTCTATATAAAAAAGATGTGTGTGTCCTATGTAAAAAAACGAGCTTTTATCTATTTACTCTTTAATATATTCAAATCTTGATATCGTGTGCAATAGAAACATTCGTTTAAATATTCCATAGAAAACGATTTATTTCTTGTCAATATAACAAAATGCACATTTTATATTGCCATCTGTCCTCACCATACAATGTAAGTCGAGTTACAAATAGTGTACGTGAGTTTTCACTGAAATACGAAATCGTTTGATTGAAAGAAACAGAGAAAGTCTTGTGACTTTCTTTCTCAATGTACTTATTATGAGTATTGATCAACGTGAAGAGGAGCACGCGCGTGCCTTAATTTTTAATTACCATGTGTATATTCATGTACCTAATGTAAGATGTTATAGAATCACGCATTATGTATAATTTTTCAATGCAATTGTAAAATATTAAATTAACTTTTAATTAACAATAACAATATTACATTTACAAATATATGGTAAAAAATTAATAAACATAAATTAAATAATTATATTACCTTACGATACAATAAATTTTAATGCAATTTTAAACTTTTCAATTTTAATAGCATGAACGCATTACACAAACCACGAATGTTGCTAATAATGATATAGATGTTATAATCGGTCAGTATAAAAATGTATTGTTTCACATGTGATTCAATCGTTTTAATATAAAAATTTACTAACAATTTATCCAATTTTCAATTGAATTACACTCTCTAAGATGTTGATAGTTAGTAAAAATAGTTAACTGTACGCGTTTCATTGTGCGCTTCACTGTTTCCATGGCTTGAGTATTTCTCATCATTATCAAATAAATATAAAATTAACTGAAATAAATATAGCAGTCTATATTAATTGTTGCATATCAACAATAACAACCATCCCTCGTGTTGTGTGCAATCCATGTGACATATCGATTCACGCGACAGTAAACGCCGGGGTATTCGGGTTGCGCACATCCTTCTCCCCAAGACACAATTCCTGCAAAATTAAAGAATTTTTACTTGAACTTGTTTACTTGTTTTGCGTAAAAGTATTCCAATCTTTAACAAAAGTTTTCTTGCATCTAACTATTTCTTGAGTATCACACATCTAGATTAGATAACTAACGCAATTTGAAGTTGAACTTACCGGCTACGTGGCAAATACCATCTTTTTCTACGTGCAACGGACCACCGCTGTCTCCCTAATAATATAAAAATTTTTACATTATTATTTATCATTATTATTTTTTTTTTTAATATATATATGTAACGTGTTAGTAGAAAACAAAATAGAAGTCCAGCATGACTTTTTGCTTACTTGGCAGGAATCTTTGCCACCCTGTTTGTAACCCGCACACAACATATTATCTGTTATTTTACGCGATGGATATTTCGTAGCGCGACATTCCGCGTTTGAAAGAATGGGAACAACAACTTCTTGCAAAGTGTTTGATACCGATCCACCTTCATTGATAGCGCCCCATCCGGTCACTATACCTTTTTCACCAGCAAAGGTTTTCCCTGAAAACAGATGAACAATGCATAATTTATCATATAATAAATTTATATTAGCAATTATATCATTTCATCTCTATCTTCCTCGGTTTGTTTAATATTAATTTTATGCAAATTTGTAATATTTTCAAGATCCAACAATTATATGATATATTTGACATGATTGAGAAATATTATAAATTATTTTTTGATAAAACCAACTTCTCTCTTTCACTTATAAAAATTACCTTGTTCCGGAAGACAAGCAGGTCGCATCGGACCCTGGAACTTGATAGGTTCCCTTAGCTTAATGAGTGCAATATCGTTATCATAATTAATAGTCGAGTAACCACTGTGTTTGAACGCCTTTTCCACTTTAAAATTCTGTGTTGTGCTTTCACTAGTCGAATTTCTATTATGCTCCAATATTCGGACAGTCAGTTTACTTTCATCGAATCTGTTATGAAAAAGAATTCGATCGATAATTGATTATACATATTTTGCACAGATACATTTAATAACGATTAGAAACCGACGTGAATTAATACATTACCTGTCAATGCAATGAGCTGCTGTCAACACGTATCGTGAATTTATGACTGTACCACCGCAATAAAATTGTCCCCTATACATCAATAAAGCCATCCAAGGATACTGATTGACGAGTGTTTCGACGCCTCCGACAATACGATTATGTTTGTTCGTCAAACCGCAAACTATAAATTAAGAATTAATATATTTTACTCTCACTTTTTCTATCTTTTTGTCGTACTTCATGAACACTGTTTACTTGGCAGGAATCTTTGCCACCCTGTTTGTAACCCGCACACAACATATTATCTGTTATTTTACGCGATGGATATTTCGTAGCGCGACATTCCGCGTTTGAAAGAATGGGAACAACAACTTCTTGCAAAGTGTTTGATACCGATCCACCTTCATTGATAGCGCCCCATCCGGTCACTATACCTTTTTCACCAGCAAAGGTTTTCCCTGAAAACAGATGAACAATGCATAATTTATCATATAATAAATTTATATTAGCAATTATATCATTTCATCTCTATCTTCCTCGGTTTGTTTAATATTAATTTTATGCAAATTTGTAATATTTTCAAGATCCAACAATTATATGATATATTTGACATGATTGAGAAATATTATAAATTATTTTTTGATAAAACCAACTTCTCTCTTTCACTTATAAAAATTACCTTGTTCCGGAAGACAAGCAGGTCGCATCGGACCCTGGAACTTGATAGGTTCCCTTAGCTTAATGAGTGCAATATCGTTATCATAATTAATAGTCGAGTAACCACTGTGTTTGAACGCCTTTTCCACTTTAAAATTCTGTGTTGTGCTTTCACTAGTCGAATTTCTATTATGCTCCAATATTCGGACAGTCAGTTTACTTTCATCGAATCTGTTATGAAAAAGAATTCGATCGATAATTGATTATACATATTTTGCACAGATACATTTAATAACGATTAGAAACCGACGTGAATTAATACATTACCTGTCAATGCAATGAGCTGCTGTCAACACGTATCGTGAATTTATGACTGTACCACCGCAATAAAATTGTCCCCTATACATCAATAAAGCCATCCAAGGATACTGATTGACGAGTGTTTCGACGCCTCCGACAATACGATTATGTTTGTTCGTCAAACCGCAAACTATAAATTAAGAATTAATATATTTTACTCTCACTTTTTCTATCTTTTTGTCGTACTTCATGAACACTGTTTTTTTTTCTTCAATAATAAAAAAAATTTGCAATTAAAATAAATATATTTTTTTTTAATATTTATACAAATGCGTGATTATTAATATTATTTTGCAAGTCTTTTTTTTATATATTATATTTTATAATTATAAAAATAGACTCAAATTATATTAAAAACGTACCGCATTTTAAACATTTTTCTGGTTGTGGAGGAGGAACTGTTGGTTTCGGCGCCACTACATCTGCCAACCATTCCCAGAATCCTTTCTCATTATTGATTCCACTTGTGCTATTCGAGTTTTGCTCTTCCGCGCGTAAAGTCTGTGACCGTTATTTAAAAAATATACATTTTTTTATTAAAATATTTTTATTATATAAACTAAAATACATTATATAAAAAAATCTTGTAATTTTAATACGAGAATTATCATCTATGGTATCTTTAATAAAACTGATATTTTTACACAACTGTTGAACAATGAAACTTTTTGCGTGCGCATAAATTAAGTTTAAGAAAATTAAATATATGTATATTCCTTTACGTAATATAAAATCTTTGTTAAAGAACAATTCATTTCAAATTAAAAAATTCAAAAAAAAATGTGGTAAATCTGGAAAATATAAAAAATTTTGTATTCTATATTTCATTTTTAAATACACTTTTTTATATTGTATTTTCCCATAAGTTGATTCAAAAAATGTCCATTATTTGTCCATAAATATGCAAAAAAACACCACATTATTAACACATTTCAACGATACCTCATTGTCAACGGTGGCTGTTGTCGCAATTACGGCAAATGTTAATAACAACATAAATCGAAACAACATTGTTTCTTGCACTTTAAAATATAACACTAACAGTATTACTGTGTTATTTCCTTTGAGCACTGCGAGAAGAAGTGTTGAACTGATCTGTTCCACAATACTTCCTGCCGAGGCGGCATATACTTTCACACAAGTCTTCGATTCGGTGTCACGTCTTCATTTATACGGAATAGTGGACAAGCCGGTAGCAGAAGTGAAAATTTAGGCTAGCGATATGTAAATTCACCGTGAACAAATGTCGTAAACACATAACAGATCTGTTAAACCTACCGATTCGCTAAATCTATGGCATATCTTGCTCAGCTGATTCCTTTTTCTCTTTCTCTCATGATTTCTCTTTTAAGAACAGTATAAGAGAGCAAAGATAAATGTGTTCTAGTTAAAAGAAATTTATTGAAAAGTACGGCTCGCCAAAAGCTTGAGCAAATGTTATAAAGAACATGTTATTTCGCATTGAATATTTTCTTAACACTTTTCATTATCCTTATCGAATAATAAATAATTTCAAAAATTTATGAAAAATATTTTCTTATTTACCAAGAAAAATTTTGTTTTTTTAAATATAAAACAAATACATTATTTGCTAATTTAGTATATACAGGATGTCCAAAAAATAAAGCAAAATAATACACTTGAATAACTCGTAAACAGTAGGTGTTAGGAAATAATTATTCAAATAAAAGTTATGGATAATAAAATTTATGGTTCAAATATAAGTTATATAGGGGGCAAGCTGGGTATAATGTCATTACTACCTCATCACTTCATATTTCGACGTACATCTATCCAATTCAATTTTTTCAATGAAATTATCATAATTTTTTTAATAAAAATATGCCGAAAATTAAGTGATGGGATGATGATATCATAGCCAGCTTGCCTTCTATGTATCCCACAACTTTTATTTAAACAATTATTTTCTAACACCTACTGTTTACGAGTTATTCAGGTATATTATTTTATTTTAGATTCCTTGTAAATACCGAAAAAGAAATCTGCTATAGGATTAATATGTGAACGTTTATAGCTCTAAAATAAATAAAATAATTAAATTAAGATAATTAAGATTAAGATAATATTTAGAAAACAGTTTCTAAGAAAAAAAACTATTAAATTAGTGCATGTACACAGTCTCTCTAAATGTATATTATTGTGTAAATATTGAATGTGCCATGCGTTACATATCTTTAAAGTTTCCGTGTACTTAAAAGATGAATGATCGCGATGATAAAGCATTTAGTTAATTTAAAAGAGAGGAAAAAAGAAAGAGAGAAAGAGTAAACTAATACAAATTTCTATTAAAATTGCGTAACAATGTCACATTATATATACATGATAATATATATATGACATATCTCAAGTGATATGTCATAAATTCTTTAATAGATCCTCGCCCTTGCTTTTGTCAGTATCTTTCCATCTGACCCGGCTTATCGTAACTTTGATTAGAGCTGAACAAACGAGATAAGATGCGGCAGGGCAAGATATTATACATCACCTGTAACTTGTAACAGTGGGTCAAGGTATATAGGTAACGCGACCCTCATGCGGGCGAGACGCGCATTACCTTATTGTCTCGATGTGCGTCTAACTTTATCAGAAGCCTTGCTTTATTTTTCACGTATCTTCAGGGTCAGATTGTATTCGCGATGTAATCTGTTCACATTACAAATTTGTTGTCAGAGATAATACTGAAGACGATTACACTTAATTCTCAAACGAAATTTAAGATTACAAGAATTAAAAAATGTACAAGGACCATTAATATATAATGAAAACAGAAAATACTTTATAATTATACCAAATCAATTAATCAATTAAACAATCGTACAAAAAATAAGTAATAGTGTTATAGTAAAATATAACGTTTTATGTATGTATTTAATTAAAATTAATTCAAAAGATATTGCATAAAACGTGTATATATACTTGCTATATCAGCCTTCAAAATAAAAGAAATTCAAGAAAAATTCGAAAATATATATATATATGTAATCTTTAAAAATCCGCCGTAACAAATTAAACGCAAACTTTAAATTGTTTGTCTCATCTGAGACTTTCATGGTGAGTGTTTCGAGAGGAACACTTTCGCATTTCTGTCTCAAGATGCTGCAATTTTGACGTCGGATGAAAATTACACGCCAAAGGGAGAAGAGAGGAGAAGGAAGGTGCATAAATTCGCAGTGAAAGTAAAATCATCTGTAGGTTAATAAGTTGCAAGACGATGTGTTTTTGTCCGTGTTGATGAATGCGCGACTGCAAGCATCAAATGATGCGGAACAAATTCAAAATTATGGGCTGAAAAAATTGCGACATTTTTAATTGAATGCTTTCTTACGGTGTCTTTCGTGCCAAATATCGCGAATATTTGTTGCGCGAGCCCTTCTAATGCGTTTTCTTCCATTACATAATCGAAGAACCTTGGTAAAATCAAACGTTCTATTAACTCGCAGCCTCATCGCATCTTTATGACTGCAGCAAGTTAACGACCCGAGATAATTTCGTTTCCTTTCGTTACGGCTTTGTTCTAATTTAATATGATCAATTATAAATCACTATTACATTGACCTAATTAAAATTGCAACAGCATCCTACTTTCATGGTCTCGCGATATGATTAATTAAAATTAATTCAAAATACGTTGTGTGTATGTGTGCGTGTGTGTGTGTGTAAAATTGTATCAATTTATAAGCCTATGACACGTAAATTAGACAGAAGTTTTTTGTGATTTTTTTAATTATATTTTTTTAATATACATGATAATTGTTAAACTCATTATCGCGCGCAGGTCGTATTAAAAAGATGGTCCCAACATTGTATAATGCGTTCGATCTTTCGCGTAAAAAGCTCAAAACAAATCACTTTCTTCAGGAAGAATGTAACCTTGTAAACGCGTATTGGAAGAAAGCGTCTTACGGAATTCAACGATAAAAATGAGATTCACGCGGCGACACCTCGCGTGAGGTGTAAAGTGCGCCGAGTGAAATCCCTGCAATTAGTTGTCTCGCTCGCATGAGCTATCAACGACAGCAGCCCATGGCTATCATCAACATCATCATTATTATTGTCGTCTTTGTTGTCGTCGTCGTCATCATCGTCGTCGTCGTCATGCCACGACAATGAACCGTGACGGCCGCGAGGCGCGGTAATGTTCGTCCGCTGACGAAATTGACATTGATCCAGTCTCGATGGATCCCTGAAAAGAAGGGTCGCCGTGAGAGGAGGTGGACCGGGTTGACATTGGACGGATCCGTGGTGGTCGATGGGTCGATTGCGCCATACACCGTCGCGCTCGTGCGTACCTATACGCGCGTGCGAATTCTCATTGTGTCTGTACCAGCTGTACCTGTGCAGGTGAGAGACGACGGACGCTTACACCGACCGGGTGATTTAAAGGCTGTCACATGCAACATCTGCCAATGCAAACGCACCACTCAAGGTTGACGATCCCCACCGAGATACACGCGCAGCTCTTGTGGGTTCTCCTTCATTAGTTATAATTTACTATAAAACGGCAAAACGGCCGGAATACCTTTAGACTTTTCACGCCACGGTTGTAAGCACGTGCGCGGGCCAGAATCTTGCATAAAAAACAAGATCGGCTGGCACCCATCAATTACCGGAAACCGCACGAGCACGGCATGGACGGCTATGCAAGAATGGAATACATGTTCGCGCTCTCTCTATGCCTGAGCTGTTGCGTCTACGCGTTGCCTCACGAGGTAAGTTAAATAACCATTATATGAATGTGTTATGTTTACTAAAAGATGCTAGTAGTAGTAGTAGCAGTAGTAGTATTAGTAGTACGTTGCATTGATAGCAGTAGAGTATTCTGTTTTCATCCGCTTAAATTCACATTTGAATCGTTAAACGCACAGTAATACTATAAATAAATTTTAAAATATCAACATATAATTAAATTAATTTTTATTCTATTATTTCCATATTGTTTTGTGATTGTACTAAGTGTCCCTCGAACTTTATTCGAACATTCGCGAATTATCAAATCCACTAATTCATTAATAATACAGATTTTTTGAAGTTTTTTTAAATTTTATTTTTCTATTCTTTATGATTTGCGCAAGAGTAACCAGTCTGTAAATATTGCATAAAAAATATTTTATAATTATTGAAAAATAATTATTTCTTCATAATGAAATTTTAATAAAAACATATTTACACTTTCGTAATTTTAAAATTTGAAGGCAAGTAGAATTGGTAACGTAGAGGAATCTAGTCATTCATGTATCTCTTTTGCAGGCATTGCAGGATAATAGACGGAATTTTCCTGCCTCAAACGCTCAAGTGCACTACAATATCACGAATGCAGAGATTGCTGATCGTCCGGCAATAGATGAAGTATCGTATATAGATTTCGATCCTGCACCCACATCCTCTTCCAAAAAGCCGAACGTCTGCAAAGACTGCAGTAAGTGAAAACATTTGAGATAATGTCTCTGATCGACATATATTTGATCATATAAAAATTTATGTACACACGCATATAAAAGAATAATTTTTCTTAATAATATATAATAGTGAAGTAATTAGAAAACACGTAATTAAGCAACTAATCAAATAAATGATTATCCGAATGTTTCATTATTATTTATTAATTATTAATTAATTATTTATTAAAGCGGATTATTATATTAATATATTTCAGCCTGCGGGCTTGGAAGAAAGAGACGGATTGTTGGCGGCAACGTGACAAGTATTTACGACTATCCCTGGCTTGTTAGTATGACTAAGAAAGGAACCTTTTACTGTGCCGGAAGTGTAATATCACGTAAGCATATTTTGACAGCAGCGCATTGTTTGCAAGGGTATGTATCAGTCAATTATAATATAATCCTAGATAATTACATATATTCTTAAATTATTTTCTTAATTTTAAAATTACACCATTATATAATCAACATAATTTTTTTTCAGATTTGATATTAAAACTATCAAACTTGTCTTAGTGGATAGCGAACGTCCTTCGATAAGCAGCAACGCTATAGTTCGACATATTAAATCGGCAACCATTCACGAAAACTATCGTGCTTCTGCTTCTTTTAATAATGATATTGCTATCATAGAAATGGATCAGCCTGTATCTATAAATGATGTCGTGCGAACAGCATGTTTACCTGAAGACAGTAAGCTATTTCCGATATTAGTAAAATATGTACATAAGTTTCAAAAGAATTTGCCATTCTTTTAAATTATACTATAAATTGATTATGACAACTATTCCATCATTTTTCGTGTATAAAATTAAAATGTATTGTAAGTAACGTTACATTAATTATTACATCAACTTTATAAAATATTTTGCATTTTGCATTTATTTTTTATGTTTAAATACATTCTAAGTTCAAATTTAATACTCAAAAATTTAGATAACAACTAAAGCGAAAATTAGAATCTCTGCCTAGAATTTGATGCAAGTGACAGTAATATCAATTAAAAATAATAAATTTATACGAAATTATAGGAACTATCGATTATACGGGAGCGATTGCCACTGTAGTTGGATGGGGTCGAACGGGGGAAAACAAACCAGTAAGTAACGACCTGCGAAAAGTCAATTTACCGATCTTGTCAAAAGAGGAATGCGATCAAGCCGGATATGCGAAAAACCGCATCACCGAAAATATGTTCTGTTCTGGTTACCTCGATGGAGAACGCGACGCCTGTTTTGTAAGTAAGAAAAAAAAGAACAAGAGAAATGCGTTATATATATGTACATATAATAAAAGTATATAATATTTATATAGTATCGCATCGATTTTTTTAAAACATAGAACGAGTTATCTTTATTTTTTTTTATTTCTTTGCGCGCGCACATATACACATACAATATACTTTTATTTATATTTTTATGTTTACTTAAAGGGAGATAGCGGAGGACCATTACATGTCAAAGGAGTTTATGGACAACTTGAAGTAATAGGTATGTATTTATGCTAGCAGGACATTTTTAATTTTATTTAGCAATCTTTAATTTTAGCACTGAAATATAATTTTTTTTGTACATAACAACTGCATTCCATGTTCTTTATTGACTTAAAAACTTTTATATTAAAAATCTGAATAATTAATATATATTAAATTAAAATTGTCACTCTCTTTGTATTAATACAAGATAAACTGAATTCTATTTATTAAGGAATATGTCTAATATCAATTTGCATTTTAATTTTTGTATACATTATGTGTCAAAAGGCATCGTTTCATGGGGTCGTGGTTGTGCAAGGCCAAATTTTCCTGGAATATACACCAAGTTAACAAACTATATTGAATGGCTTAAAGATAACTTAGGTGATGAGTGCATTTGTCCACCACTGCATCAAGAACAAAACTAACACTTGGTATAACATATTATAATTATCATAGAAGAAAAGTAAATGTCAAATTAGCATTACGCTATTTTTATTTGAGTATTATAAACCTATGAGGAAAATATTTTCATCTTTCTAAGTTAATATTTGTGTGATAATTGGCTATTAATATATAATATACTTTTTATATTTCAAATTAGTTTGATATTTAACGCGCGCGAGATTCATATTATATACTGCAAACGTATATAAAGATTATATCTAGTTATTTTATTATAGAATTATATATATATTGTAAAAATCTGCGTTATATTAATGTATAATATATATTTATTTATATATAATATTACATATATCTAGTCCAGAAAAATTGTATATAATAAAATATTTATATTATATATTGCGATATTATATATTGTAATACAAATGTCTTGTTAAATAACAAGAGATGTATAATAACAAAAAGCATAAATAGTTCTTATTTACTCAATATATTGTATATAAAGTTGTCAGAATTATAAATAATTTATTATCAAATGTGTTCTCTACTGTATAAAAAAATTGTCAAAAATTATTGCTATCTTTCTTTCTATTTCCTTTCTTCTAAAAACATTATAAATTGCAATAATGTTTATTTAGCTCATTAGCGTGATGGAGCTCAACTTTATCATACCCGACTTGTGATACGACATCTCAATGCCACTTTCCCTAATCGATTGGTCGTGACAGTGCCATTTAACTGGCCATCAAGATCTCCAGACTTAATCCCGTTGAATTTTTATTTATGGAGTTGGATAAAGAATAAAGTGTACAGGAAAAGAGTGGATACACGAAACAAATTGCTCACATAATGGATGCTATTGCCCGCATAAAGGAATATCACGATGCACTCAGACGAGCAACACGCCATGTTCTCACAAGAGTTGATAAATGCATTGATGTTGACAGTGGAATTTTTGAAAATTTATTATTATAAAGTATGGCCATTCAAATGAACCAGCCAGAATTTAAAACAATGTACAAATTGTTGCGTCGCTTGTTAGCGTTTTATAAAAAAATTAAAATTCTTAGCCAGATTGTAAAATATTTCATTTTCAACCATAATTTGAGAATGTGGCCGCACTTTATAAAATGCCTAGACATTTTATAAAACGATGGATTATGTAATCTAGCTACGACATATATATAAAAATCTGTGAGGAAACTATAGTTTTTATTTCAATTTATAAAATAATTAGCTAGATATGCAATGAGTAAGATACTTTATAAAGCTTAAAAAATGTACGATCTTTGAATTTGTTGCACAAAACGCGCACTTTTTTTATTAAAACATTTTGGCCATGCACATTCAATAACTTAATGATGAATCTCATTCTCAGTCACACCTTCTGCTCGAGATTGCGCGTACAGATATGTATAGTCAACGTCTGTATCTTTATTACGGATTGCCCTAGTACGTCAGAGTCTTATAAATATGGAAAACTGTTTTGAAATAAATGTATCTTCAGTGCAGTGCAACGTAATTACTTTTGCATGCAAAATTATTATGTAAATGTGAATCATATGCACGTGTCGTATAATAAATACGCAATACGCACTGGACTTGATAATTTCTCGAAAATTTCCGCTGGCCTTTTTATATATAGAAGATATTTTGATTAAACGTTGATTATAGATTAAACTTGTTGGTTTTATAACATTGAAATTGGATCAATTAATTAGACAACACTTTCAATTTCTTGGTTTAAAAATATATTTTTTAACTTTAATTATAAGCTTTAGTATGCTTTTATTAGATTATTAAAGCAAATATTGTCCCGCGAGTTTATAAAAATTTATGCCATTTGATAAAATATA